CCCCCGCACCTGCGCAGGCCCCTCTTTGTCACCTCCCTAGATAAGGCAAGACTCCCTTAGGTGCAGATGGAGACAGAACTTAACAAGCGTTCTCAGACACCGGGTGAAAGAGTAGTGGGCTCGGCATCAGGTGACTGTTTTCTTCCCGCTCCCTCACTTCCCAGTGACCTTGGGCACGTTTCTCAACCTCTGACTCAGTTTCTTAGGCTAAAATCGTGCGGCGGATAAATACGAATAGCGCCTTCCCTGCTAAGTCGTTTCGGAATCATCTGAGTTTATGTACTTTGGCCCCAGGAGGCCCTCTGTCAATGTTGGCTGCTGCCCCTCCTCCGAGGATAACCTTCACGACAATGTTGGGAGACAATCCTGTGACACCCCTTTTGGAGACGAGAAATGAAGTCTTAGAGATGCAAGCGATTCGCTAAGGTTGAATATTGGTCTGCAGCCGCAGGTGGTCTGGGGGGTGGAGGAAGCGTGACCCCCCCAGCCCCCACCCCGGGGACCCTGGCTGTGGGGCGGACAGAGCATCCGCCCTGCCAGGGGCCCGAATGAACAGACTGGTTGCAAGAGAGGACTCAGCTCCCCCACCCCCACCCCCACCCGCACAGGGCAGCTGGTGGAATGGGATGCCCTGGGGCTGTGCCCTGCAACGTGGCTGAGCCTCCGTCCCCTCCTAGAGCTGCATTCATCTAGGGGTCCCAAGATCACAGCACAGAATAGGTGGCCCAGGGCTGGAGCGGGGTCTCATCGCCGGGCTGGGCTGAGTGCTCGGGGGGGGGGGGGCTGGGAGGCGCTGGCAACCCTGCGGTGCACCCACGCACTGCCGAGCACAAGGGAGCCCGGCGGTGCCAACCCGGGAAGGAGGCGGAGGCTTGCAGGCTGCCCCCGCCGCCAGCCCGGCCGCAGCCCAGGCGGTGCTCTGTGGTCCCTTCCCCGGCCCCACCCCCTGGCTTCCGGATCTTTCTGCTGGGGAAGAGTCGAGACTGACTGAGGCCCCTCCCAGCGCACCTGTCCCTGCCACACTCAACTTCCCAGGACTGTGACAACAGCCTTCCCTGACTGCTTCCAAAGGGATCTTTTATGTACTGCTTTCTTTCCCCACAACTGACACAGGCTCAGTATAGAAAAAGCCAGAACATTCTGGTAAGAAAAAGATTATTACGGTTAGTGAAAATACCTCAACTCCAAAAAACTCTTCTTGGTGACTTTTAACATTTCTGTGTGAATCCTGCCAGGTTTTTACACGGCAGCTACACAAGCATACACACACGCACAACACTTTAAAAAAAAATGATAGTGGTTTGTCACCTATGGGGTATTCCCACCTACAGAGTCTGGGTAGTGAAAACAGTGTGTTGCCATTTCTTTTTTATTTTATGTTATTACGTGTTATTTTATTTATTTTTTTTCTTTCATAGTTTATTGTCAGGTTGGTTTCCATATAAGACACCATGCTGATCCCAAGTGCCCTCCCCCATGACCATCACCCCCCTTCCCCTCCCCCACCCCCATCCGCCCTCAGTGTGTTCTCAGCATTCAGGAGTCTCTCATGGTTTGCCTCCCTCCCTCTCCCCGACTATTTTCCCCCTTCCCCCATGGTCTTACATCAAGTTTCTCCTGTTCCATCTGTAAGTGAAAACATATGGTGTCTATCTGTCCCTCTCTGCCTGACTTATTTCGCTCAGCATAATTGTGTTGCCATTTCTAACTGAGTGCACGGCTTACACAGTGTGAATGTATCATGATTTTACAACACTCACGCCTCTATTTGCTCCTCCAAACGGAATTTCCAAGTGAAAATGCTGAGTCTGAAGAAAAGAACCATTTCTAGGATTTGGGTGTTTATTGCCAAATTTTCCTCTAGAGGATTGGCACCGATTTGTTCTCTCATTACAGAAGCGTGCCTGATTTCCCATAACCTAGACAACAGCATATTTATATTGCTTAAGCCCCTTCCAATTTTATAGGAGAAAAAAGCCACCCAAGTCCTTTGTTTTATTATCCATGAATTATTCGATTAATTGCAATTTGAACATTTTTATTCATCTACTGGCTGTAATTTTCTTTTCTTTTGGCAAATTGCTTCAGACAATTTTCGTACAGTAAAATCTTCCTGTATGGAAAATTCATCACATGCTTTCGTTTATATTTCTTCTTTAGGGTCAAGTTTCTAAGCCCCATACTCACTGGTATTTTCTCATACTTTGATATTTTCTTCTTGTATTTGATTTTTTAAATATTTATTTTAACCCAGTTGACCTGTATTTTGAAGATGTGAACTATAGACCTAGATTTATTTATTTGTTTGTTTAAATTAGTTTTTAGAATAATTTTAAGTTTACAGAAAAATTGAGCAGAGTACAGAGTTCCTATATAGTCCCTCAGCCCCTGTCACCTCCACTGTCGATTATTAGTAATTCCTTGCATTATTCGCACTAGCCTGGTACATTTGATACAATATTCTTTTCATTTTTATTTATTTTTATTTCTTATTTTTTTAACATGTATTTATTTTTGAGAGAGAAAAAGAGAGAGACAGAGGTGAGCTGGAGAGGGGTAGAGAGAGAGGGAGGCACAGAATCCTAAGCAGGCTCCAGGCTTTGAGCTGTCAGCATAGAGCATAACTCGGGGCTCAAACCCACGGACTGTGAGATCAAGGCCTGAGCTGAAGTTGTGCACTTAACGACTGAGCCACGCAAGAGCCCCCTGATACAATAGTCTTAATTAAAGTCCAGAGCTTACATCACCCTTTGTGCTGTATATTCAGTGGGTTTTGACGTATGTACAAAGACCTGCATCTGATGTTACAGTAGATAACTGTAAAAAAAAATTCCTCTGTGTTCCACCTGTTCATCCCTCTCTCCCCTCCCCGAAACCCTTGTCAAACACTGATTTTTCCCACTGTCTTCTTAGTTTTGAGACTCTCATTATACTTAGAATAATACAGTGTGTAGCCTTTTAAGATTGGCTTCTTTCACTTAGCAATATACATTTAAATTTCCACTGTATCTGTTCATGGTTTAATGGCTCATTTCTTCTTAGCATGGAATAAAATCCCATTGTCTAGACGTACCATAGTTTATTTATCCATTCGCCTACTGAAGAACATCTTGGTTGCTTCCAAGTTTAGGTAATTATGAATAAAGGTGCTATAAACATATGTGCAGGTTTTTGTGCGGACCTAAATTGCCAACTAATCTAGGTAAATACCGTGGAATATGATTGCTGAGTTGTATGGAAAGAATGTGTTTAGTTTTGTAAGAAATTGCGAAACTATTTCCCAAAGTGACTGCCATTTTGCATTCCCACCGCAATGAATGAGAGTTTCTATTGCTCCACATCTTCACCAGCATTTTGTGTTGGCAGTGTTTTGGATTTTAGTCATTCTAATATGTTTGCAACGGTATCTCATTGTTGTTTTAATTTGCAGTCCTCGGTGATATATGACGTTGAGCATCTTTTCATATAGTCATTTCCCATCAGTAAATCTTTGCTGAGGTTATTATCTGCTTAGGTGTTTCCCCCATTTTTTTGCTTGAGTTCCTTTCTTATTGTTGATTTTTAAGAATTCTTTGTATATTTTGGATGCTAGTCCTTTATCAGATGTGTGTTTTGCAGATTTTTCTCCCTGTCTGTGGCTTGTCTTTTGCAGAGCACAAGTTTTCAATTCTCATAAGGTTCAGTTTATCACTTTTTTTCTTCCGTGGTTTTGATATATCTAAAAGGTCAGACCCAAGGCCATCTGTGCTTCCTTCTATGTTATTTTCTATGAGTTTTATAGTTTTATCTAAAGGTAGATTTTACAGTGGGGCACCTGGGTGGCTCGGTAGGTAGAGTGTCCCACTTTGGCTGAGGTCATG